AAAACAAAAACTGCAAAAATACATACCTCCCGGGACATATTTCGCTGTCTCCAGAAATGTCCACGGGACTACGTTTTCAGAATGAGCCTGGGTTGGCATTTTGAATTACGACTACACAAGGCATGTCCTTGTAAACCTGTATATTCTGTCCCCCTACACCTAAAACCAACCCTCACAGGAAATGATCTGCATTTTTACATTTTCAGAATACTTCAATCTGTGTTATTTATGAGTTTTCCTAATAGGGACCCCAAAAAAGTCCACACAATGTCAAAATAAACTGGTTTTTCTATACTTCTGGGGACATTTGTTCTCCACAGTGTAGGAAATACAAGACAACACTTAGAGGTTTTGGCATCTGAATTTCTGTGTGTGTGTGTGTGTGTGTGTGTGTGTGTGTGTGTGTGTGTGTGTGTGTGTGTGTGTGTGTGTGTGTGTGTGTGTGTGTGTGTGTGTGTGTGTGTGTGCGCGTGTGCATGTGCGTGTGTGTGTGTGTGTGTGTGTGTGTGTGTGTGTGTGTGTGTCAGCAAGCATGTACACAAGCTGCTCCCAGGCCTTTGTTCTCCACTGTATCTGCAAATGCGATTGATTAGCATTGGACTTGCAATGTGATATCTTTCCATAATGGTCAACTTTATACTATGCACACGGTGTAGTAATAAATACAAATGCAACATGAGAATGCATGTGAGTATTGAACAGCACTCAACATGTAAATACGTCCATACGCACTTATAGTCCTTGGCAGTGTTTGATTTCACAACACAATGCAACGTATAGGTCTATAACTATGCAAATCGCAAATCAAAGTGACTCGCTCTGAGCTTCCAAAGCCAGAAAGCATAAGACATGTGGCTTTTTGCATAATTCCCCACCTCCAGATGTTTCTCAATGCAGCTTTTAATCTCAGATTGTGAGTGCTGAACTTAAAAAAAGAAGGGGGAAGAATAAAAAAAGAGGTGAATATTAACAACAACAAAAAAAGCCCACATTCTCAGGTTTGGGGGGCAGTTAATATTAGCATACCTATTGTTCCTTGGGAGTGAGGTGACAAAGAAAGTGCTTCTCGTTTCAATGCCCCTGAATTGCTCTGAAATTTTCTTTGTGTAAAAAGAAGCAGATTTCCCTGCCCCCACCCAGTCTTCCCGCTCGGGCCACAAAAGGCGCATTTGCCTGTAGATGCTTTTGGGATCCATTGGGAGATCACCAATAAGCACTTCCATCATGCTCTTTAACATATACCGGCCAGCAGCAGAGTGCTTGAGAGTATTGTTAATAGCTAACTGGCCATCATCTGCGTCTACGCCAATATTGTTGGAAGAGATGAAATATTGATTATACATCTACTCATATGCACTTGTAAATAAACTGATATGGAATCGGGAAGGAAATGCATGTTGGGTTGCCTAACATGACAATAATTAATGATCATATAGCCCACTCGGAAACTGCGTGCACAGGGATACACAGATTTTTTTATCTAATAACATGACAATAATAAATGATTAGTGATAGTCTATTTGTTTACCTACAGTTGAAGTCAGAAAAGCCCCCCTGAATTATTAGACCCCCTGTTTTTTTTTTTTAACCAATTTCTGTTTAACAGAGATTTTTTACGACACATTTCTAAATATAATTGTTTTAATACTCATTTCTTATAACTGATTTATTTTATCTTTGCCATGATGACAGTAAATAATACCTGACTAGATATTTTCAAGACACTTCTATACAGCTTAAAATTACATTTAAAGGCTTAACTAGGTAAAATTAGGTTAACTAGGCGGGTTAGGGTAATTAGGCAAGTTGTTGTATAACAGTGGTTTGTTCTGTAGACTATCGTAAACAAATTTTGCATTAAGGGGGTAATAATTTTGTCCTTAAAATGGTGTTTAAAAAATTAATAACTGCTTTTATTCTAGCCAAAATAAAACAAACAAGACTTTCTCCAGAAGAAAAACTATTATCAGACATGCTGTGAAAATGTCCTTGCCATGTTAAGCATCATTTGAGAAATATTTTAAAAAGAAATAAAAAAAAAAATCAAAGGGCGTCTAATAATTCTGACTTTAACTGTATGTAAACGTATATAAACATATATTTTACGTATTTATGTATACGTATGTGTGTGTATATATATATATATATATATATATATATATATATATATATATATAGTTAATATTAGTGAATTACGTGCATCTGTGTGTATGGTTTATTTACAATACACTCCGGAAAGTGATATTTTCGGTATTTTAGTAGATACAATGTCCTGTAGGATCTACAGTAGCTTACTGTAAATCAATTCAAGCAAAAATGCTGCGTTTACATTTACAGCACCATTTATCTTGTTGTGTGTGTATTTAGTATTGTATATCTTTACAGTGAAATATACAGTCATTTTCACAATGTGACATTTAAAAGGCAGTAAAATACTGCATATCTGTCCTACAGTAAAATGCAGTTCGTATTACAGGTAAATCTTGTGCAATTTACAAATACTATTAACAGTCCAGACGGATAGAGTATCACTGTTAACAATTACCTGCAGAATCCACGGTTTCTTATTGACAGCAGTTTGCCAGTAACTTACTGTAAATCAACTGCAACAACACTACTGTATTTACATTTACAGCACCATTTATCTTGCTGTATGTGTATTTACAGTATTGTATATCTCTATGGTAAAATATAGAGTCGTTTTTACAATGCAACATTTAAAATACAGTAAAATACTGTACAATACAGTGCAATTAGCAAAAATCTTTAATATATATTGATATATTATAATAGATATATTATGTGAAACCTTATGTAAAAAAAAAAAAAAAAGTCGATCTTATTGGATTTGCATTGTAAGCTTTAAATAAAAGTTTTAAAAGTTATTACCCAGCAGTCACTCAACATTATGAGACGTTAATATTAGGTAAGATTTAGGTCGTGACATCAAGTGACCAAAATTTAATGTCTAGCCAGTGTCAACATTATTTTGACGTCCAATAATGATGTCGATATTCGGTTGATTTTAGGTTGTAGAATGACCAAAATCCAGGATCAAGCCAACATCCTAAACCAACGTCATATTGACGTCAAATACTGACATATATTCCTCAGGTATGGCAACCAAAATATAGTGGTAACGTCCACAGAACTTCAAGCTGCAACAGCAGTAGACGTTGATATTTGGTTGATTTTAGGTCATGTTAGGTCACCATAGTCGAGCCAACATTCAGTCAATCATTTTCTTTTCTGCTTATTCCCTTTATTAATTTTGGGGTCACCACAGTGGAATGAACCGCCAACTTAAACCAAAGTCATATTGACATCAAATACTGACATTTATTCGTCAGGTATGGCAACCAAAATCCAACGTCCACACAACCTCAAGCTGTAACATCATTAGACACTGATATTTGCTTGATTTTAGGGTTGGACATTGGACATTGATGTCAGTCTAACGTTGGGTTTTGACATCAACCTGATTTTCATTTCCAGACAAAATGCAACATCCCCACAATATTGGGGTACAACGTCAATCTGGCGTCATGTTGACGTCTTGTGCCTGCTGGGTATTTTATTTTATTTCATGTTTTAATATTTATTTTATACTTTCCAAATTATATATATATATATATATATATATATATATATATATATATATATATATATATATACACACACATACATACATATATATATTACAAACCTCTGTGGAGAAATGGATCTGGTTGCTGTCTATTGACAGGAGTTAATAAGAGTAGAAGAGTTATTTAAAACAAATTCTCATGCCATATGTGCCAATATCATATTAGTTTTTATGTTTTTCTCGGCTAAATGTTACTGACCAAGGTGTAAACATGAGGGCATCTCAAGTAAATTATAGATGATTTGACAGAAACACTTAAAAGTTGCTTGTGAAAGGAGAGACTGGTGTCATTTGGACAGGGGCTGCGCGTGTTTTGAATAAATGCATAAAATTATTATACAAATCTGGTGGTTCGCTTTATAAGCACGCTGTAACCGAAATGTGAATGAATTCTAAACGTATCAGAGAGAGAGAGAGAGAGAGAGAGAGAGAGAGAGAGAGAGAGAGAGAGAGAGAGAGAGAGAGAGCGTGCGGCAGACAAAGAGATTGCATGTCTTGGCACGTTGTCCTTCATTGAGGCTTTTGAACAGCACATGTAAAGGTCACTTGGAGAAAGAAATTAAATGAAAAATAATATTAATATATTGTTTAGATGAATCTAAATTGGAAATGTAAAGTGCCTGATGCACTTTATCAATTGAGGCTTGACTATTATTGAATGTTCACATACAGAAGGTTTTGTTTACAGCTGGCTTCCAATAACTGCAGTAGATTTATTGAAACATATTAGCCCAAATATGTGTCATGGCCGTGTTATGACAATGGCTATTTAAGCTTTGGATTTACGATGTTACCGATAAAGCTCCATTAAAGTGTTGATTAATAAAACTGCTGAGTGAAGCAATAACGATTGTGCTAATTTACCGGTGTACTACATGAATATACGCACAATTACATCGTTATTACCTTAAAAAAAGTGCAATAATATTAAGTTCTAGCTTATTTTTATTTATTTATTTTTTAAATCTGAGCTCAAACAAATACTCACTGAATACAGAGATGATGTTAAATAATTGACTCACTACTTTGAATTATGTAAACACACTGCTCTTTTACAGCGCACGTCTTTGCTGAATTCTCCTTAAATCTAGAAAGTTAAACAATAATTTGCTTTCAAGCAAAAAATAAAGTGTTATTCTGCTTTTTAATAAGACCACAAAAGAAAAGGGCGGACCGCACCGAGCTGTGGCTGAACTCGGTCGCCCCTCTTCCATGCAGAATCCGTCCAATCAGCGCGCCGTATGCAAATTGCAGCCCAGCGCCGCACCGTCCCTGCCCCGTCCGACCGGGGGTGACGTCATGCGCACATATTCTCCGGTAGTGCCGCGTCTGGCTGCAGCGAGTCAGACAGCGAGCAGAAACGAGCTGCAAGGGAGGGGTGCGCACTCGAAAGGGGAATATCGCCACCGCCGGCAAGCCAGTCTCCGGGAATAACGCTTATTCCACACATTCGGGATTGCACTGATTTTTCTTTCCCTTTTTATAAATGACTGTTGTTTGGACAGAAGGAACAAGGACGCGCGTTGAATCCGCACCCGTGGAGCTTTTAAAACCAGCCGTTTCCCAGCTCAATCCCACCCTCCTCCTGTAAGTTTTCCCTCTTTGTTTCCAGACCTATCCAAGATGCCTAGTTCGCTGTTCGCCGACATGGAGCGGAGCGGCAGCGGCGGGCAGGGGGACGCCCTGGATGACCAAAGAGCCCTTCAGATCGCGCTGGACCAGCTTTCCCTGCTCGGACTGGATAACGATGAAAATTCCCTGTACGACAACGAGCCCAGGAAAAAGAGCGTGAACATGACTGAATGCGTCCCCGTTCCCAGCTCGGAGCATGTTGCTGAAATTGTCGGCAGACAAGGTAACACTCATCACCATCAACTATAAAATGTGCGCGCTTATGCTAGCCCTGTGTGTTATTGTAATTCATTTGCATGTGCGTTATATAGGGAATGTAGGTTATAGCCTATTTTCAGCAGCACTGCCCTCCTTGTGTGTCCGACCAAACAAAAGCAAAGGGAGAACTGACACTACGTACCTTTAACGTGTCATCCTCACGCTTATACACAACATTCCTCTATATCTAGAGCCAGACTTAAAGCAGCGGCTCTTTGTTTCTTTGTCTCAATGGACTTTGTTTACACTCCCTATATGCAGCCTATTGGGAATAGACTTCCCTAAGCAGGAAACACTATTATGTAGGCTAGATCTAGGTGACAGCATGCTGTGTAGGTTATCTTTGAGAGATAGAAGAGACAAAAGCAAGTTGTTGACAGTGTGATTAGACTCTTGGAAAATCCTGAATTCAGCATGCGTTTTTCTTCGTTCTCTCTCAGTGTGTGCTATTTTTGACCCTGTATGTCAAGTAGCCGAGCATGTGGTTTGAATTTATGCCGCACCAAAGAAAAAAAAAAAGCCAAAAACTGTTGTCCCTCTAGATTGTGTGCCTCTTGTTTTGTTTGTTGCCAGATCCTGTGCTTGCTTTGTCTTATTTTTGTTTTGTTTTTTTTATTTCTCACAATTGTAGGTTGCAAAATTAAAGCCCTGCGAGCAAAGACCAATACGTATATCAAAACTCCAGTGCGGGGAGAGGAGCCAGTCTTTGTTGTGACAGGCAGGAGAGAGGATGTAGCCATGGCTCGCAGGGAGATCATCTCAGCGGCTGAGCACTTCTCAATGATCAGAGCGTCGCGAAATAAAAACAGCAGCCTGAATGGGAACGCTACGGTCCCTGGTCCGCCCAATCTCCCTGGTCAGACCACCATCCAGGTGCGGGTGCCCTATCGGGTGGTGGGGCTGGTGGTCGGACCCAAGGGGGCCACCATCAAGCGCATCCAGCAGCAGACGCACACCTATATCGTCACACCCAGCCGGGACAAAGAGCCAGTGTTTGAGGTGACAGGCATGCCTGAGAATGTAGACCGTGCCCGGGAGGAGATCGAAGCACACATCGCCATGCGCACCGGTGGCCTCATTGAGTTCACAGATGAAAATGACTTCCACGCCAACGGCACTGATGTGGGTTTTGACCTGCATGGGAACGCCAGCCTATGGAGCAAGGCCAGCTCTAGCGTCACGCCCACTTCGGGGCGCAAGACTTTCTCCAACTACCGCAACGACAGCTCCAGCTCTCTGGGGAGTGCCTCCACTGACTCGTACTTCGGCGGCAACAACAGCAGCTCCAGAATGGCTGATTACAGCCCACCCAGCCCCGCCCTCAGCTACACTGCCTCCAGCAACGGCAACAACAATAACAACAACATCAACATGAACGCCAACGCCAATGGATTTGTCTACAGCGGCGAGGTGATCTCGCCAGATTGCACTGACTTGACCTTCGAGTCGTCGCCAGGATTTGATCCTACTCCTGCGCCGCCAGGCTTGATGTGGTCGCAGTATGAACGCGCCAATAATGGTACCCCGGCCTCCTCACCGGTTTTCTCTACGAATGCTTCCACGAATGCCAATAATGGGCTGCTGGCAGGCCAGCGCCGGGTTAATAATGGGGTGGGGTGCACCAGTCAACGGCTGTCCCCGCCGTTGCACCAATCCAACAACAGCGCCACCGAGCACCCGCTGGCACGAAGAGTGCGCAGCGACCCAGGCGGAGGCACTCTCAGCTTCCCTGGCTACTCCCCAGTCCTCCCGGGATCCCATCACCCTGGGGTGCCCTCCGACTCCTCAATCTCCTCGTCCTCTTCATCATCGTCGTCCTCCTCATCTGGAACGAGCCGCAAGGGAAGTCGGGACTGCTCGGTGTGCTTCGAAAGCGAAGTAATCGCGGCCTTGGTGCCCTGCGGCCACAACCTGTTCTGCATGGAGTGTGCCAACCGCATCTGCGAGAGGAACGAGCCCAAATGCCCCGTCTGCCATGCTGCAGTTACTCAGGCTATACGTATATTTTCGTAAGAAAACAGACCCTAATAACGTGCGTGCGTGCGTGCGTGTGTGTATGTGTGTATATATACATATGTATGTAGAGCTGCAGTATCCAAAACAACACAGAAAAAAGGGACGGTCATTGCGGTTGTAAATGTTCATAAATGTACTGTAGCTCGGGAGAAATATTTTCAACATCTAATGCATGTTTTAAATATTAAAGCCTAGTAATCAATAGTTTTAGTCAACTGTACACAAGCGTTAATGAAGTAAGGACGGCGAGCGGTCTCGCACGAGGTACCTTAGTCAGTCAGTTGGTCGACTGTTAGCATACACGAGCGAGCCTTGCGTTTTTTTTCCGGCTGATCGAATGTACTGGTAGCAGAGACCCGGAGGTTTGGGGGATCTGAACGGGACACACACAGACACACACACAGCAGTGGAGATGCTGCAGCTTATCACACGATGGAACTCGTTCGAGGGAGAACAGCAACATATCCTACATATATATGTATAGATCAAACCAGAAATTCCACAAGTTTTAAATATTCATGACATTAATACAGATTGAAGTATTTTATTCTTCTTTTTTGACTTGAAAGATTATATTTCGTATCGCAAAGATGTTTACAGATATTTTAATTTAAGTTCAGTGAACTTTTTTTGTAGCTGGGTTCAAATATCTTTTTTATTTTTTAGTACGGCCTTACGGCGACGAACACTGTATTATTTTAATATCACGCGAGATGTGGACGGCGACCACGCAAAGTGTATCGAACAGTATTCTGTTGGGTTGGAGGGCTTCTACGTTCAGCAAAAAGAGAGAGGGAGAGAGGGAGAGAGAGAGAAGGCGTCTTTTGAATCCGTTTCACCCAGCATATTTTCTATTCAGTAATATAAAGCATATTTTATTCTATATTATTACGAAATGTCGAAATATGTATAAAACTTAGTACGTTCAGACAAAAAGGAACCGTTTAAGCTTTCTAAACATTTGTATGAATTAGATTCCAGTGGGTACCACAGAGTTCTGTTCTGTTGCGCCACTATAGGTTTAGGATTTCTATTTTAATACGTTTGTTTACCACTTGTTTATGTATATGTAGGTGAAGTTACTTGAGCGTATATGTACTTTATTGAGCAAAGTTTAAAAACAAAGTATATTTTATTTTATGATAAAAGGCCTTTAACCTCATGGTCAAATACTAATATTATATTTGCTGAAACAAGATTTGAGAAATGTATCAAGAGTTTTATTTTTCTGACATTTAAAGTTCTACATGATAAAGTAAAACTTAAGTAATGGTGCTACTTCATGTTTTTTTAAGTATTTCTATATAAGCCCAATAAAATGGTACATGAACCAGATGTGTTGCTTCACTTATTTGGGGGAGATCTGACCGCACGTTTGCTTTATTACTGGTCGTTTTAAAGGTTGTGTGTGTGTTTCACTCCATGTTATTTACATCAAGAGCTTTAAAAACAATGCAGTGTTTACTTCTCTAGAAGGTGACGTCATCAAAATGGCGCCCTGACTGCTTTGGAGTTTGAGGTGCATTTATTATGGCTTCCACAACTGTGCTGGGGTCAGGGGGTTATGTCGATGTCAGGGTTGTTTAGTCATTAAGGAGCGCATCTCTTATGCTTTCCTCTGCTGGTTTTCAAATTATCCCTCCGAGCGGCAGCATTTGCAGTGTCATGTGTTTTATTTTTGTGGAAAGACTGACTGAGAATATTCCCTGCCTGTAGATAATAAATGCGCAGCCGAACGGGCCTTAATGATCAGTTTTAAAATGGAAACATCCAACGCTGGCCCTCATAAACCGTACTATTAGGAAACAATCCCAGCTCTTGCAGAAAAGAGCTGACAAGTGTTAGACGTAAATGCAGAACACATGCCCTTTGTTGGGTTCACAGCTTGACTTCTTTAACAAGACGGGCATAAATACAGGAAGCAGATATTTTGTCGGCCAGACTGGGGTTGTATTTATGTGTAGGGTAGAATGGAGTCGGGTTCGATTTATTATTTTTTTGGGGGGGGGGTCAGAAATGTGTGCTGGTACTATAATCTGAACGTTTTCTCATAGTGATGGGTCGGTAGGCACTTGGAATATTAAATTAAGATGAATTAATTATTGATGGCGATGGGCCTCCCTGCTGTTTATTTAAATGAAAGATTGGGCTAAAATCACCATTTAAGACTAAAAAAGGGGGTTAGAATTATTCATATCCTCAATTATTAATTATGTTACCATCATTAATTATGTATGGTATTAATATGTATTATTATGTACTTATGAATAATGCATTTAATGTATTATTTTAGGGTTTTAATAATGACATCCAACCTAAAAAAAGTGTATCAACAAAACATTTTCAGAAAATTATAGGTGATAGTTTGGTTTGAAGTCAAGTTTTTTCTTGCACTTTCAGCTAAAGTTAATGAAAAAATGGGTTAGAATTAATTATATATATATATATATATATATATATATATATATATATATATATATATATATATATATATATATATATATAATGTGTCTTCATTACAATTCTTATATTGTATATATGTATATTACACCAGTATTATTAAGGTATAACGGTTAAAATAATGCTTTAGTTAGCTTTAAAACACTGCCAAGAAACCTAAAAAAATATTGTAATTGTAATTATGACTATTTGCCTGAATGGATCATCACATTAGCATAAAAACAAAACAACAACATCAAAAACGTTTTGACTGCATTATTTCAATGTAGGTAGTTCTATATTCAACATAAGGATGATTTAACAAAAGAGGTCATCTTAAAAAAATTGTAATCAATTATATAGATTACATAACTAAAACATTCTTTAAAACCTGTTATTAGACTAAAAATGCTGGGTTCCAAAAATTAATTTACTGTATGTTGTCACAACACAAATCGATTAGCTTAACAAATTGAAGCAGATCCAACATAAAACAATGACGTTGTCCCAAATCAAACTCAAGAATTGTGTTGTTTCACCTCATTTTAAATAAAAAGTTTAAACAAGCAACAAAATCACTTTTTTAAGTGTAACAAAAATAGTTCTGAATTAATTATATAGGCTTAATTCATTATTTTATATATTTTATTTATATATTAATTACAAATATTTGTAATATTGATATTATTAGGCTATATATATATATATATGTATGTATGTATGTATCATATTGCATGTTGTGTTCCGCTAATGCATTGTTAACTTTAGCTTCATCGTTTCTTCTCTTTTAAACACCCATTAAACCTAAAATTGATTATTATTAGGCTTTAAATATTAGGCTAACAATTCAATATGATACATTTAAAAGTTCTTAAATATCATATATATATAAGATATATAAGAACTTTTAAATGTATCATATTGAATTGCACGTTGTGTTCCACTACTGCATCGTTAACAAGTTGCATTGTTGCCTAAATAGTCACTTTCCAACTTGTTAATATTTTGGAAATATTCAGAATTTTTATTTTTATTATTATTATTATTGTTGTTGTTAAATGCGTTATTTTGAATAAAAAAATTCTTTATCTTTGAAACACCCAATAAACCCAAAAATGGTTATATAAAGGCTATGTATAAATAAAATAACGTATAAATGTATCATATTGTGTTGCATGTTGTGTTCCACTAATGCATCTTTAAGAAGTTGCATCATTGCCTAAAAAATCCCTTTCCAATCTGTTAGTATCCTGAAAATATTCAGCATTATTATTATTAATATTATTATTATTAATAAATGTGTTTGTTTGGTTGAAGAAATGTTTTGTTTAGCTTTTTTAAATATTCCCATGAAACCTAAAAAGTATAATAATAATAATTATTATTATTATTGGGCTATATATATTATTGTTATTTTGGGTAAAGACATGCTTTCTTTAGCTTTAAAACATTCCCATTAAATCTAAATTATTATTATTAGTATTATAAGTTATTATTATAATTATCATTATTATTATCATCATATATTTATATATATGTGAACAGTTCAGATGCAAAAACCTCTAAATGCTGTCTGAAATTTCTATAAAAATGAGCATTATTCTCAGTCTCCCTTGTTTTTTATGTTCAGTTATTTCACTTTTAAGACCATGGAAATAGGAGGAAAAGGAGGTTTGGAGGTTTTTGCATCTGAACTATATATATATATATATCATATTGCATTGCATTGCATTGCATGTTGTGTTACACTAATGCATTTTTAACAAGTTGCATCGTTGCCTAAAAAGTCACTTTCCAATCTATTAGCATCCTGGAAATATTCAGAATGCCAATAAAACACGTCCAAAAATCTCCTCTCCAAGTACTTCATATTCCCAGCCCTTTGCTCCCCTGGCTAATCAAAAACCGCTGGCTCTAAGTAGGAAAGCGAGATTGGGAGCAAACGTCTGGGGGTGTCTGAGTCTCCCAGCAGCCTTAAAGCTGGATGTGACGGTGACGATTTTGCAGGAAGGAGGTCATTATCTATTTTTAAATCGCCAACTTTAAGCCATTAGAGTTTGCAGCGTGTCTGCGCATCCTTCCAGGAGTCCGCCAACCAAAATAAGCTCCGCTCGTTGTTTATTACACAAGCCTGTGGCCCACAAAGAAGTAGAAGAGGGAAGAAGGGATTGATCCGTCTTTGTCTCCTCTCCCTCCGTGTCTCCTCCCTCTCGTCATCCAGTCATCTTTAATTCATGAGACACAGTGGTTGTCATTGTGCGCTGGAGTGGCTTGGCTCTCATTTGATTTGACTCCTGCCACCTGACAGTGCACTGCTGCTTTTGCTAACTAGCATCCAGGATTTGTGTCAGCGCCAGACAGACACAGCTATTCCTGCAGCCCTCCATCATCAACACACTGCGCTGATGAGCCCTATACATCCAGACACTGTCAGGTAGAGCAACTCAAAGTACACATGGAATCTAAACTAACCATATTGATTGTGTTAGCTCATATTGCTAGTTCTGTGGCGAACAATTCATCTGTGCATGTCATTAAGAAAACAATAGTTTGCTCTTGTAATTTTTAATTGAAATCTGAAAATGCACTTACTGCTTGTTTTCAGTAAATTCTCAGATTACATCACTCTGAGGTATTGGGCGTGGCTAACATACTTAACCACACCCCCTTTCAACTGTCAGTGTTGACAACAAACAGAAATATTGAGCAGTAGGAGTCTTATTGGTTGTAATAACTCTCCCCAAACCCCTTTCCCCATCTCTCTGAATGAAACACCTACTACATCCAATCAACTCGCAGTAGAAAAACAAGCCACGCCCACTGTTTTCTCATTTATTATTCCATTTCTTTAGGAACTTCATCATAATATGAAAGAAAATGGTCGCAGCTTCTGGTTCATTCATTCATTCATTAATTCATTTTCTTGTCAGCTTAGTCCTTTTATTAATCCGGGCACGCCACAGTGGAATGAACCGCCAACTTATCAGGCACATGTTTTGTGCAGCGGATGCTCTTCCAGCTGCAACCCATCTCTGGGAAACATCCCTATACACTCATTGACACACATACACTACGGACAATTTAACGTACCCAATTCACCTGTACCACATGCATTTGAACTGTGGGGGAAATCAGAGCACCCGGAGGAAACCCACGCGAACATGCAAAGTCCACACAGAAACCCCGACTGACCCAGCCGAGGCTCGAATCAGCGACCTTCTTGCTGTGAGGCGACATCACTATCTACTGCGCCACTGCATCGCACGCTTCTGGTTCATGTGGACTTTAATTGTCTCCCAATTGCACCTCAAAGTCTCTGGAATCAAAAGATCAATATATCAATATGCAAAAGTGATTGGCTGATGGGCGAAATATTCAAATAGCTGCAACAAAGGCTTTTAGAACAACATTACTCGCCAAATAAAACATCTCTAGGGGTGGCACGGTGGCTCAGTGGTTAACACTGTTGCCTTACAGCAAGAAAGTCGCTGGTTAGAGTCTCGGCTGGGTCCGTTGGCATTTTTGTGTGGAGTTTGCATGTTCTCTCCATGTTGACAGGTGCTCCGGTTTCCCCCACAGTGCAAAGACTTGCAGTATAGGTGAAGTATAGGTATAGGAATAGTGTGTGAGTGTGTTTCCCAGTACTGGGTTGGGGCTGGAAGGGCATCCGCTGTGTTAAACATGTGCTGGAATAGTTGGTGGTTCATTCTGCTGTGGCGACCTCTGATAAATTAGAGACTAAGCTGAAAGAAAATGAATGAATAAAACGTCTTTACCTGTCAAATTAAACTTTTTTGTTAAAACTACAACCCCTCATTTTTTGTGGGTTAAAAATGACCCAAAATCTAATTTTGAGTAATTAAGTAGCTTCAAGCATTTACAACAACACAA